TTCCACCACCTAAAAGGCCTTTTCCCCATGTCCAAGACCCTAGCCAGTCATTTGAACCTGTGTCTAAGACCTCCTGATTAGTTAGTGGTGACACCCCATATGTGAACTCTAACATTTAGAGGCTACCATCATGGTGAAGAGATGATAGGTATTGAGAGAAATAGCATGCGCATCTTTCGCATCAAATTGTCCTGACCCCACTGGTCGAGAGTGAGTGATTCATTTTCATTTTCTATATGCTCTTGTACCCCGTTGAGGACCTAGATTGCTCGGTCTCTATTCTGATGTCTTGAGTTGGATGCATGAGTTGACTGTTTTGAGTAAGTGGTTGAATCAAGTCTAGGTTGGCCAGTGAACAGAAGGGAGACTCTTCCTTTACTCGATTTGCTGCACTTGAATGTCCTTTGTGGTGGTTGTCCAGGTTGTTATTGAGGTTGTGCATGTATTGATGTTTGAAAACCAGTGCGATTCACGTGTTCTGTGCCTTTATGACTTGTCCCCAATGTTGGTTGATTGAAATATGTAAGCTTACCTAGTGTCTGACTTGGTTTGCTTGGGGACAAGCAAACGGTTAAGTGTGGGGGAGTTTGATAGACCGTCATTTACACATGTTTTTACCCCTGTTCTTACACCGTTTGAGGTGTTGATTCTCGTGTTTTAGGCCGATTTCACGCTAGGTTGTGCTTGTTTGTGATATTTCAGGTCCTAGTACGTGAATGAAGGCTTAGGAGCGAGTCTGGGGTCGATTGGACGAAGAACGGACGAATGGCGAGGTTTTTGGGGAGCTGCACGGGCAGACCAGGGAGACGCACGGCCGTGCACGTGAGCAATATGGCCGTGCGCTTTACGCCGAGGCCACGCACGGGCAACCCCTGAAGATCGCACGGCCGTGCACCCTGGCCGTGCGAGAAGCCTGAGGTCGAACTAAATGACACGCTGCGTTTTGAGTTGCACGGCCAGAATGGTGATATGCACGGCCGTGCACCCTGGCCGTGCGAGTCGGGAAATCCTGATTTTAGAGCCTATTCCGAGCCAAAAGGGAGAGAATCGTGTTTTCAGAGCAAAAACAGAGCCCTAGAGAGAGAAAGTACGAAGAACACACCCTAGAAGCTGTCTTAGAGCTGGATTTCATCGAATCGAGCTTGGAGATCGTCATAGGAGTGGAAATCATCGCCCCGGAGCAGATTATCCTCATCGTTATGAGTATGACTAATCCGATTCTTGTTTTCTCTTCTCTCTCTATGGAGTAGAACCCTTCTCTCACTTGGGTATGAAGAACCCTAGTTCCTTGTGTTAGGGATTTGATTGTAATGACTTGGGATGATATACTGTTTGATTTTAATCGAATGACGCATGTTTAATGAATTGATTTGAGTCTGATCAGCTTTTCTCAATTTCTGCTGCAATCTGAGATAGATAGAATCTGATTGGGTTGTTAGAGCCTCTTCATTCGATAATAGGAGATTGGCTATACGAGAGTTAGCCAGTTTACTGCTTTGTACTGGTGTTCTTGGCGCCAGTAGTGGTGTTCTGTGTTCATAGCCTCAGCTTTCTATCCCAGTGAAGACTAGTCGTCTGCCGGGTAGTTAGACTGAGAGGGCTTGGTCAGCTTAAGAGATTCCAAGCTACTGTCGGATCTTCCGCAGTCTAATCAACAGTAAATCAACCCAGGGAATTGCAATTGAACCTAACTAAGGGGTTAGGGGGACTCAATCCCGAGTGACTCTTGCCTGCTTTAGAAACCGAACAATTTACTGCTTTCTTGTTGCTTTTACTTTTCACAACAATCACTCGAACTAGTTTGCTAGATAATAGAGAATCACGGAGTAAGCAGTAGATCTAGACCCCGGGTTGATAATTGAACTTGCCTGTATACTGCAGTCCCTTTCATTGGTTACACTTGGCCATTGTTAGGTGTTGTGTTTTAGCGTGTCAGTATCCATGGTGGAGGTGAATTATATGACGATCATCCCTACCAAAGTTACCATGATCCTCATTCCTATTTTCAGTACCAAGATGGAGGGCAAGGTGCAGGCCATCATCAATCTTTCTCGTCATATGAAGAAGAAGTTCAACCGGACATCCCCAACCAAGCCCAGTACAACTTCTTGACAGGCAGCGGTAGTTTTCACAACTACCATTATGGAGCTGATGAAGGTGCCTTTCATGAGCAGGATCAGATGGACCTTTCCCCACCAGCACCAGTCAGCGACCCCTCTGATGAAGAAGGAGAGAACAACGTCAGTGCAGACAGCTCAGACCCTCTTGAAGGTGCTGATGATTCAGCACCAGATTCAGATTCAGATAATGATCATGATGTGGCTCCTGACCATGTACCAGTCCCCTACTACAATCACATTCCAGACGACAATTGGATGGTCGACAGCGACATGGAGCCGCCAGAGGTCCCAATATGGGGCCCACTCACTGGGTTTACGAAGGGCCAACAATTTGGCTCGAAGAAGGATGTGCGGCACGCCCTTGAGACTGAAGCAATGACTCGGCATTTTGAATGGTCGACAACTCATTCCAACACCAAAAGGCTCATAGTCAGATGCCGTAATCATCACGAGGGGTGCAATGTTAGGATTCGGGCCATCAACAGCAAGAGACACGGCCACTGGGTCATATCCCGTGCGGTCAACACACACACATGTGTGTCATCCATAACTTCCCAAGGCCATCGACAGTTGAAATCCAGGGTGGTTGCTGCGGCTATCAAGCATCTGATTGAGGCTGAACCGGATCTGAAGGTGAAAGTCATAATCGCTGACATTGCAAGTCGTTTTGGTTATATGATTAACTATAAGAAGGCGTGGCATGGAAAGCAGAAAGCTATGGCCGCCGTCTATGGTGATTGGGAAGAATCATATGCATTCCTTCCCAGACTAATACTGGCATTGGAGGCGTCTAACCCTGGGACTGTGTTCTCCCCTCGATACCAAGATGAAGAGATACAACCCCCAGAGGCAGGTAACGAACGCCATTTTCGGCGGGTTTTTGAGAAAAAAACCTAAGAAATATTTTCTGATGGCAGATCGGACTTAGCCGCAACCAACAGACCTTTATTTCCTAGGCTTTTGGGAGGGGAGGGTTTAGAGAGATTATATCTAGAGAGAGAAGGAAGAATGGTGGTGTGGAGTGAAGAAATGAGAGGGGGAAGGGGGGTATTTATACCCAACAGATCGCACCCCTCAGGGGCGGTAGGGTAATTTTACCCCGTCGAAATCGCATCTCCCCGGTGCGATCTCCGCGTGAAAACGCATCTCCCCGATGCGATCTTCGCGTCCCGAGGCGTTGAACGCTCTGGAAACGGACGCTCCACTTTTCCAGGCGAGAAATCGCACCTCGCCAGTGCGATCCACAATCCACCGCGCGGATGGCTGATGTGGCTATGCTCCAGCCCGTTGGATCGCACCTCAATCGTGCGAACTGGAAGGTCGCTGGCCACCAAATATTGAACGCATCTTGGGGATGCGTTTTACAGCCTAAATCGCATCTTAGGAGTGCGATTTATGTTGGAAACGCATTCTTAGGCTGCGTTTCATTTATAAAACGCACCTCTAAGGTGCGTTCCATTAATATAGGTGCTAGTTTTGTAAATATTTTTGGGAGGGTGCTAGTTTTGTAAAATTTTTTTAAAGGTGCTATTATTGGAAAAATCTCGTTATTTGCAGTGTTGAGACCGCCATCATCATCATCATCACTGTGTGTTTGGATGGTGAATAATATTTTTTTTACAATGAAAATGCCAATTCTTGTGAGATGAGAATTTGTATGCAGTATTCGTTTTTGGAATTCATGTTGGAACGAAATCCTAAAGCTTTGGAAGTGATTTATCCGCGGGTATATATTATAAATGGTCACATAACTTGTCACTTAATACAAAACGATCACTAAATTTCAATTTTGCACATTTCAGTAAAACACTCTTGGACGAATAACAAAACGGTCATTTCGTCCAATTCTATAAAAAAAACTGTTAGTTTAGTCCAATCAGCTTGACACATTACCCAAAAAAATAATAAGAAAATTAACAAGTCAAACCATCCTAACCAGCCGAATTGACCCCAACCCACCCCAAATCCATTCGAAGACTAAATGGGGATTTGGGCGAAACTCGGAAACATACAGTCGCAGTGTCAGTCGCTCTCTTTATGGAGAAGGAACGATTCCCTCTCCAGTCCGCCATTGTTCGTCATCGATGAAATAATATTGTTGCTTGGCAACACAAATCCACAACGATATTATTGGCGAAACAATGTTGTTGTTTTGACCCTCCCAAACTTTGTTGAGAATGGGCCAAAACAATTACAGCCAAAAAATTGATTTTAGCCCTAAACAATAACTAACACCAGCGTAGTAGGCCAAATATCCAAAGCAAACACCAACTTTCACAAGTGAGGATTTCCAACTTTAATTAGGGAGCCAAAACTGAGCAATTATAGAAAGCCAGAAGCCCCCACTTGCACTTTCTCCCTCCTCAGCCAAGTTATTCTGCTAACTTGAAAATTCGTTAGTATATACTAACTAATATCCAAAATGTATGAACTAATATCCAAGTTTGCTGAGTATCTAGATAGCACAGAGTAGTATTCAAAATATCACAAACTAGTATCCAGATAGCATATACCAACTAATATCCACAATCAACCAACTAGTATTCAATATGGATACTCTTATGTGTTATTTGGATACTCTTATGTGTTATCTGGATACTAATTATGTGTTGTACGGATACTATTCTGTGTTGTCTAGATATTAGTTTGTGAATTTGGGATAATAGTTGATTCATGGTGGATATCAGTTAGTAAATTTTAAATACTAGTCTGTGCTCTCTAAATACTTTAGTACTTGGATACTAGTTCATGTATTTTGAATATCAGTTAGTATCTGCTAACGAATCTTCAAGTTAGCAGATTAACTTTAGCCCTCCCTCCTTCCCTGAGTTAAACAAACCCAGAGCCAGAGCAGGGGAGTTCAAAATCAAGAGCACAAAAATGGCGTATCTTTTCAGCGAAACCCACATCCCAAACCAGAAGCGGCTACCCAATTCCCCGCCGTTCCCGGCCGTCCTGTCTCCGGCCGCAACACGGTCACCCACCCTCTTAGACTTCACTTCCGCCATCGAAACCCAAAAGCCGTACCTCGATACTCTGCTTCACGAAACAGGGGCGATCCTCTTCAGGGGATTCCCTCTGTCCACTGCTTCCTACTTCAATCAGGCCGTGGAGGCGTTCGGGTTCCCCGATTACCCTTACGTCGGCGGAGCCGCCTCCCGGACCAAAGTCGTCGGCCGCGTCTCCACCGCGAATGAGTCGCCGCCCGATCAGACGATTCCCTTCCACCACGAGTTGGCTCATGTGGGTAGGGCTGGGCATGCGGGCGGATCATCCGCGGGTTTGGGCCGACCCACCCGCATTTGACCCGAATTTCGTTAAGTGGGTGGGTCTATGGGTGGGTGACGGGTTGCGCTGGGAGCCATCCGCCGGGTGGTGGGTGGGTTGTGGGTGAGTGTGCGGGTGACCCGCTCAACCCAACAACAAAAAAATCAAAGTCGTTTGCGCTAGAGAGAGGAGAGTGGAGACGTTAGATATAAACTCGGACTGTTCCTGGAGTTTGAACCTCAAAGCCAACCTTCCAAATAGAGATCCCCTCTTCTTCCCTTTACTTTTTCCTCTAATTCTTGTGCCTAGACCAACGCTCTTTCCTTTGTGGAATTATTTTCCTTAGTTCTTTGCACCTAATAATCGTCTCAATCTGTAGAAAACTCTTTCATAATAGAATTTCTATCCAATTTAAGAACTAATTCGACATTTTTCGCCCTATTTCAACTTCTGGTTTCTCTCGATGATTCTCTTCACCTATTATAATGCAAGTTGACTCCTTTATATTATATAAATTGTGATGTGGGTGAACCCACAAACCCACCCGCATCATCCACCATCCGCCCGACCCAACCCGAGACTAAATGTGGGTGGGTGGTGGGTTAAAAATTATCAATCCGTTTAAGCGCGGGTGGGTGCATTTTATGGTCAAAATCCACCCGACCCACCCAATGCCCACCCCTACATGTGGGTATACACAAAAGATTAGGTGCAATCAATTCGTTGTTTAATGGGTTGTTTAGGAGTTGGGATTTTGCATGTTTTGTGGACTATTATATTGCAGAGTGCTTATCCTTATGCGAGTAGTTCACCATTTCTGGTATAGATTCATTAGAAAATCTATGCACATGAGAATATACTTGCAATTGATGTGGCTTTTGTATGGTCTTTTTTTTTGAAAGTTTACAATATCTCATTATTCGGAGGCAAAGTAGTTAAAAACTATAGTTTGAGTTTAATTATAAACTTGATTTATATAAGCTTTTGGGAATTCCTACAATGCCTTGAAGTAAGGTAACTTGATTTTTTTTACCTGATATAGCAGGTTTTACAGGTTGCATTACGTAAAACACAACAGGTATTACAGGTTTTTACCTGATACCATGTCAAGAACCAGTTGGTCCCAATAACTCGAGTTGTTGAAGAGGGATCTGGAGTTGTACCGCAACTGGTGCTGCGATTTCAGATACGGGTACCGCGATGCGATCGTGGCTTCCGAGGCGCCGGCGAAGAGCCGGCAGAGGCGGATGAAGGCTGCGAGGCCGGCGTTCGTATCCCCTGTCTCCGCCGACGGTGTCGATCCGTTCTGTGCGGTGCCGGGTCCGTCGTTGAAGGAGGAGGCGGTGGGTGCTTCTGGCGGCTGACAGAAAAGAGAGATCCCACAAGTCGGCGGATAAGCAATCTGCGGATTGGGAAAACCTAATTCTAATGCATAAAAAATTTGGCCGACTCCTAATTGGCATTGGGAAAACCTATCTTTCAAACCGACAATCTCTTCCCTTAGAATTCCGGCGACATTTTCGGCGGCCAGGCGTACCGGTACAGCCGGTTTCCCATCTGCGCGTGTATTTTTTTTTTTTTTAGCATCAATGGTTGTAATGGCCTGTTGTCAATTTTAATGGCTCAGATTTGTGGGGGGAAAAAAACAAGTCACCTAACTTGAAAAAAGTACAAGGTACTGTAGGAGGTGCCTAAGCTTTTTAACATGCTTTTAAGAGCTTCTAATGGTCGAGGTTTATGAAATAAGTTGGGCAATGAGTGGGCCGGTCAAACACATTTTCTTGGTAAAAATAAACTAAAGTGACCATCATTTCGCTTCCCATAAAAACTATAGTTTGACTACATTGTTTGGCGGTCTATAGTTTCGAAAGTGCATACATACATGCTTAAAATTCGATTCTGAATCGTCTTAAAAACCAGCCAAGTAACCGAAGACACTCTTGTGATGGATTTGTTTTCGAGTTGCACTCCAGGTTCCAGAGTTCCCGACAAAGTTGTTCTTCTTTTGCGAAGTGGAGCCAGCGAGTGGCGGCGAGACACCAATGGTTCTGAGCCACGTGGTATACGAGAGGATGAAGGAGAAGTACCCTGACTTTGTGGGGAGGCTGGAAGATGAAGGATTGCTCGCGAACAGAGTGCTGACCGAAGAAAGACGACCCTTCTTCCGCCATTGGCCGAGGCTGGAAAACAACGTTTTCCACACATGACAAGCATGTTGCTAGTGAAAGGTTTTGTTCATATGAAGTTTTTGCTCTTTGTTTTCAACACGATCCCCCCCAACTCTAATGACGCAAATTACAGGGCATCAAAGCTTGGAATGAAGCTGGAGTGGATCGGAGATGGATCAATGGTGAGAAGTGAGAACAGTAATCGGGGCCCGAACCCGGCGATCAAGCACGATCGCACGAGGAATCGTAAGGTTTGGTTTAATGGGATGGTGGCCGGTTATACAGCTTTTGGCGACAAACGAAATGACCCGACGAAGTCTGTCGCCTTTGGGAATGGCGACTGTTTGAACCTAACTGAGTGTAGGAGTGAGGTTCTGGTAAGAGTTTGGGTCAAGAAGAAACACGAGCGTCGGTTCGATTAGAGGGAGAAGGGAGAGTCAAGTGAGAGTGGGTTTGCTAACTCTTAGAGAGAGAAGTAGTTGTTATAGAGCGAGAATGGCTAAAATCCGATCCCCTTCACCCACCGTAGTAAATGCCATATTTATAGGCTTCATGGTGGTGGGTGAGTGGTTGACACAAGTGGGGATACAATGATGTGACTATTGGGATACACTGATGTGACCCATGATGTGACTACTAGCATACTAAGGACTTCTAGGCCATCTCTCTACCTAGGATGGGTCAGAGATCCACTCATGACCCTGACGTGACCACTCGCTGAGGAGGAGTGCGCTCCTCTTCTCTCCTGATTTGGTCCACGCTTGTCCTCTCCTAGCGCATGTAGTGGCGCTTAAGCTCTTCGCGCCCCGACGTGGTTAGGCACGATGAGGCGGCACACTCGGGGTCCTCGCGCCGCCGCGTCGGGATCTACTTAGCTATGCCCTGTTCATTGGCGTGATTAGGCCCGAGTCTTATCCCCAACAATTGCCCCCCATCAGGGGGTGTTTTGCGAACGCCCCCTGTTTAGGTTTCTTCTTGACAGACTCGGGCCGGTGTGCTCTTCGAGGGGCGGATCCTTTGGGTCTATTCCGCTTGTAGACGCGCGCGATGCTGTGGACCGGTGTCACCTTGCACTGATGTCATGCGCCGTCGCGCTCGTTGTTGGGCTTCATTTGTTCGTTACGCGTGATGCTTGACGCGCGTACAGGGTCGTTTTCTTCGCGCAAGTTACACTGGCGGCTCGCGCGTTCGTTGTTGAGCTTTGTTCGCTGAGCGTGATACTCGCGCGTGATACTCGTTGTTTTCTTTTCGCAGCGCGATGCGTGCTTGGCGCGCGTACAGGCTCGTCTTCTTCGCGCACGTTACACTGGCGGCTCGCGCTTGCGCATTCGTTGTTGAGCTTTGTTCGCTGAGATACTCGCGCGAGCGCGTTGTTTTTATTTTCCTCGCGGGTATGCCATGCCCCCCAGGCGGTGCGCGGCACTGGTGGCGTCGCCGACTAATGCCTATGATCGTAGGTGTCCACGTGTCACTATGTGGTTAGGCTACCTGGGCGGGGATTTTTGAATTTCGAAAAGATTTGGTGGGATCTGACGGTTACGGATCCCAATGTGACTTTAACCTTTCGCCTTCCGCTGGCCGACTTTGGCCCTTTGCCTTCCCCCTGATCGACTATAAGTATGAGATTGTTGCAGAGAGGAGGGCTCACTTGTTTTCCCCGATTATAGCCTCACTTTCCTTTCCCTGAGAATTCCCTTCTCCTTCACTTTTCCTTCTCTGAGATTTCTCTTCTCCTTCTACAACCTTATTCCTCCTTTGCCGTTGTTCAATTTCGAGTCGATATCATGTCTAACATCAACAATCAGGAGGCCGAGGTCGTGCAAGGCGAAGAAGGTAATTTCTCTCCTCCCTCGCATACTTCTTCTGACCATTCCGGTGGTGGGAACGGAGGTTCTGGGGATTGGAACGGCGGATCTGACGGCGGGGGTGGCAGCAGTGGTGGTGGGATTCCGGCGACGCCGACGTTCGATGCCAGGTCGGGTGATGGGGCCGGAAGTTCTTCTGATGCGGGTATACTCGCTTCCGGGAGTGGGGGGGCGATGCGGCCAGCCCGGGGTACTCTGATTATTCGGCGTAATCAGGGTGATAGACCGGTCATGGATGATGGAGCCGCCGACGGTGAGGTCGCCGACGATGAATTTGCCGATGATGAAGTTGCCGCGGATGAGATGGCGCAAGGAGACTTGGGTGTGCAATTCGCGCCGCGCGCTGTTGAGCGCGTTACCGAAGCTATGGCGCGCTTGGGGATGCGCGGTGTCGGCGCGTCCTACCGCGTGATTGAGTGGGCCGAGATGTGGGGCGATCAGCCGGCGCCATCGGACAGCCTCAAGCGCGGGCCCGAGCACTCCTCGACATACGACGTGGACGATGTGGAGGAGCTAGTCCGCGGGCTGGGTTTGCCCCCCAGTTGGGAATACGCTGCCCCGTCTGTGCGCAGCATGGTGGGCAACTGCCCCCCAGGATGGTTCGGCGTATACGCAGAATATTGGGTGATGGGGTTCAAGTTCCCCATTGACCCGCTATTGTGCGCTATATACGAGCGGCTCAAGTGTTCGGTCGGGCGGCTCTCCCCCTCAGTAATCATGCACGCGAGCTGTCTCCGTCTCGCGTGCAAGAGGCTTAACATCGAGCCTACCTATGGCTTGTTTAGGAAGATGTACAAAATCAAGGAGGCCACCACGCGGAGCGATTGTCTCTCTATCCAGCGGCGCGATAACCGCCCCGAAGGTTTTGTGTATGGCTCGCCCAAGTTGAAGAAAACTTGGTTCGAGGAATTTTTTTACGTTAAGCCCACCCCCGGGGAATGGGCGAGCGGGACCATGGCGGCACCCTCTTCCTGGGAGAAGGGCAGTACGCGCGGGTTCGAGTCGGACGTCGGCTTCTACGTCGGGCTAAACGATGAATACGAGGCCTGCATGCCTCACCGCATCAATTTATACGCCAAGGGTGTTCGCGAGGCCTGCTTGGAGGAGCTGTTTGGGGATGGTTAGTTATATTTTCTTTCCTTTGTATTCTGTCTTATTAACCGCTCTCTTACGACTTATTGGCGCAGGTGTTGACTTCTCCGGCCTTGCCAGCATGATGTCGGTGGACGACGTCGCGCCACGCGCTGACAAGAGGAAGAAGAAGAAGGTTGTCGCGGCGCCCAAAGCTTCGAAGCGGAAGGAGATCGAGCAGCCGCATCCGCAAGCTGTCGAGAGGCCCCGCAAGACGATTCGTATAGTGGAGCCAATTTCCCAGGCGGTGAAGCAGACGCCCGCCGCGCCGCCGCTGACCGCCGCGCAGCAGCTGTCCTTGGCGCTGTCGGAGCCCGAGGCAACGGTGTCCAGGCCCGCTCGTCGGGATGGGAGTGGGGCGAGTAGCTCCTCCGGGGCGGCCACCACTGCCCCCGCAAGCGCTGCGCCTGCCATCGCCGCCGTCCACCAAGTCCGCGACGTGCGGATTCACACCGCGGCAGCGTGTAACCTGGTGTATGCCAACCATGCGCTCCGGGCGATCGGGCCCGTTCTCTCCGTTCCGCCGCGGGTGGAAAACACAGATCCTCTCCATGACCTGGCGCAGATCCACTTCGCGGTAAGACCTAGTTGGATCCTTGTAGTTGTAAATTTATTTTCTTAACCTCCCCTTTCCGTCTTCCCTTCTTCTTTTTTATTTTCGTATTTGGCTAAGGCTCGTGGCGTTGTAGGGTCTGTCGGCGACTTTCCGTGCTCAGCAAGAGCGCGCCTCGATGCGCGCCAAGATGAAGGCCAACGAAGCGCAAATCGTCCAGCTGGAGGGAAAGGTGCTCGGGGCGAACAATCGCGCTGAGGATGCGACCACTAAGGCCAACGAGGCACTGGAGTCGCTCGGCCTTTTGCAGAGCCGATTGGCCGCGGACGTGGAGGCGGCCAAAGAGCAAGTGCGCAACGAAGAGCGCTCCACCCTCCGGAAAGAGCTGGAAGTTTCTTTTTCTGAGAAGTTGAGCAAGGCCCGCGAAGACTTTCAGAAGGAGAAGGACGACCTTGTTCGCCTTCATACCGTCGCGAAGGCTGAGGCCGTTCGCGAGGCTGAGGCCGCGGCCATCCGCCGGTTCAAGTCTTCCCAACCTTTCGGGAAGATCATGGCGGATGCCATGACCAAAGCCGTGATAGCGGTCGGCAAGAAGGTTCGCCCCGAGAATCCGGAGATGCGCTGGGATACTCGCGAGATGGTTCATCATGTCAAAATGTGGATCAGCGAGAAGCGTCCTTTGGATTCCGACTCCGAGTCCGAGGAAGAGGAGGAGGAAGAAGCGGAGCGCCGGGAGGAAGAAGAAGCGGAGCGACGGGAGGAGGTAGTTCGTCCAACTGGAGAGGAGGTTTCGGGCGCCAGGAGGGATGGCGAGGTGGCCGATGAAGATGAGGAGGACGAGGAAGAGGAGCGTCCTTTGTTGCGTCGCAAGTCGAGCAGGGAGGATGAGCAGCCCAACACTGGCTCTGCTTAAGTGTTGTCCAGTCGAGCCTTAGCTGTTTCGTTGATTCTTCTTGCTCTTTTTGTTGTTGTTGTTTTGCTCTTTTTGTTGTGTAATTGCGAACAACATTGTGGCCTCCCCCTTGATTATGTCAAGAGTTTTTCGACCGTGTTTGTTTCTCTTTCTCCCTTTTTTATCTATCTTGCTCCATAACTTTGTGTGCGCGAATGGGCGACGACCGCCGCTTTTGTTGTTGTTCTTTCGAACTAGGCGCGAATAGTGTTGGACTATTGCTAATTTTTGTTCTTTCGAACTGGGCGCGAATAGTGCTGGACTATTGCTAATTTTTGTTCTTTCGAACTGGGCGCAAATAGTGCTGGACTATTGCTAATTTTTTGTTCTTTCGAACTGGGCGCGAATAGTGCTGGACTATTGCTAATTTTTGTTCTTTCGAACTGGTCGCGAATAGTGCTGGACTATTGCTAATTTTTTGTTCTTTCGAACTGGGCGCGAATAGTGCTGGACTATTGCTAATTTTTGTTCTTTCGAACTGGGCGCGAATAGTGCTGGACTATTGCTAATTTTTGTTCTTTCGAACTGGGCGCGAATAGTGCTGGACTATTGCTAATTTTTGTTCTTTCGAACCATGTCTTTTTATTTATTGCGCTAATGCGCTGGTGCGAACATGGTACACGCTAATGTGCCTGGTGGTACTTCCTTAGATTCTGTGCATTCCATGTTCTTGGGATCTTGTTGCCCCCCAACTCGCTCAGTTTGAATGTGTTGGCGCCGACTACTTCGCGGATCAAGTAGGGACCTTCCCATGTCGAGGCGAGCTTCCCGTGCCCCGGGGCGGGACGGAAGTTCCGCCGCAGTACCTGGTCGCCAAGGATCAACTTGTGGGGGACCAGCTTCGCGTTGTGGTACTTGGCTACCTGTTCTTTCATTGCGGCTAGCCTGATGGCTGCCAACTCGCGCCTTTCTTGTGACAAC